TAGTGTACTAGAAAAGAAAGATTCAAGAAATACAGTACCATCCAGGCTGGAAGGAGCATCAGTAGAAATCAGACCCAACACACAAGAAACCCTGAGGAGGGTGTGAGCAGCCCTGGCCTGGGTGGGGAGGGGTTAGGGAGCTCACCGGAGTGGGCAGTATGGAAGCTGAGTCTTGAAGGATGAGGTGGACAAGACTGAGTGAAGACAGTGAAGGAGGGGGGATGTGCCATGCATGGGAGACCACCTGGGGGCATGGAACAAGTACCATGAAATCCCACCACTTCCTTCTTAGATTATTGAAATAGCCACCAGCTGGTCTCAATTCTTCCCCTTAAGCAAGTGCACCTGAGCACTGCTGATAAGTCCTCCAAAAGCATAAATTTGATCACACCCTCTGTCCTTCCCAAGAGCCAATTTTGTCATAAACTATCAAATTATGTCCAGATTGAAGCCTGTTACTTAAGGGCCTATGTGTGGTCTGTTTCCGTATTTCCTTATCTTCATTATTACTTTCCCAACTCTCCTCAAAAACTTCTGAGTCTACTCACTTGCTGACAGGAGGTTCAACCCCACCATACCCCTTTGTTACACCATTCCCCAAACAAATTCCACCCATGCTTCAGACCTTTCCTGCGATACATGTTCTTGGCTCTCCCTTACCTGCTCCAGCTGCCAAAACATCTGGGAAATTGACATCACAGACTCAGAATTTTATATGGAAAAACCCTTAGCCCCATTTAGTCCATCCCAATCTGTCTGTACATTCTCAGGTAGAGATGCATTTTTATCTTCACTCACCCAAGACATATTTGTGAATTATCTACTACATGTAATTCTGCCCCCACTAAATATTCACCACTTAACTAATTTTCTCTTTTTCCTTCCTCCTTATCACCACCATCCTCCAAACTTTTTTCCCCTGTTCCTGTATTCTATATAACACATCCAAAGCTGCATCCTTCACTTCTCTCTCTCTCTCTCTCTCTCTCTCTCTCTCTCTCTCTCTCTCAATTCCACATCCAATTGGTTACCCAGTGTGGGAGACTGATATAGGGTTAAGCCTCGGACGGACTTGCTGGCAAAGTCACAAACAAGCCCTAGGTTAGAGGGCACAGTCCTCTTAGCATAATTAGGCTTGATCTTATAACACTCCCTAGATCTTATCTGGGAATCTAATGGGCTGAGGAAGTGCAGGAAGTATAACCATGGTGTAAACAAGTGAAACTCACAAGAACAGTGTAACTATGGTAACCACTACCTTGTTTACCGCTCACTATAAAAAGCTTGGTGAGGCCTGAGCACAGTGGAAGTCCTTCCTCTTGAGTTAGACTTGCCACCTGGTCCCCCAATATTCCCAAATTATCTAGTGTCTTTTCTATTTCATTTGTGTGCGGCTCCTCTTCCAGACCCGAACCCTGAACCACGCAGGACGTGGAGGGAAACACTTACGTCAACCCAGTTGTGGGGAAGCAAGGGGCTTGGTAGGAAAGTCTGTAAGAAGGAATCTCCGAAAGGTTGGGGGACTTCAGGGGGACCTTGCCAAAGGTGGCAGCCCCTGCTTTGACTTTTCCAAACAAGTCTGAGCCCCAATGGTGGGTTGATTTTACCCACCATTCTATTTCCAGAACTTAGCACACAGCTATCACATACTCCTAGCATAAATATACTCACAGAGTAATTGCTAAATTATTGAATTGGCAAATGAATGTATTCTGGGCAGGAGATGTCTGGGATGGGGAGCTCCTGCAAGAAGTTATAAAGCTTAAACATATACAGAATAGATACTAAAATGGGCTCTAACAATGAGGGGCAACAGGATTTTCAGAGGCACATGATTCATTACCACCTCCTCAAACCTCACAGATACTTTCTGAAATACAATTTAATGATACTCATTTGTTTACCAGACCTACTCTTAGAAATTCACTCTGTTAAAATAACTCCCACCCCCAATTTTGACAGTCAATCCAAGGTTATCATTTCTCATTCCTCTCCTAAGAATCCAGAAAAGCTGACATCAGTAGCCTTATTTATGACTATTGAAAGGCATAAATCCCTAAAATAAGTCCTTTCCATGCACCTTACGGGATCAGCATTCCCGATTTAAACATCTTGAACATACTCAAGCCATGGGTTCTATGGTCTTATGGAGATGACTCCCAAGTCTCACTATTAGCTGGAGAGAAGGGACTGACTTCTGTTACTACTGCCAAAGCATTCTCAGACCCACACATTTAAGTTACAGGAGAACGAAAATAACACTTTTGAGCACTTTCTAGATGAACCACATACTAGTTATTGTACCTAGTAGTGGGTGTGAATTTCCAAGTCATAGACCCAATACTCAGGTGTGTAATCACATGAATATAGATGGAGAGAGAGAGAGAGAGAAGTAGGTATGTATTGTGTGTTCTTTGTTCTTTTGTGTGATGATCAGTCAGGTGTGGCTAGAAGAGACACAGGAGAGGCTCAGGAAGACAGATTATTATAATCACGGATTGTGGAAACAGGCACACCACGCCATGGGAAAGCACCAACATCTGTGAGGAGGCTGAAGGAACCAGACCAAGGGGAGAGCCACAGGCACAGTCTTTATTGGCATTCCATCAGAAAAGGCAAGGCAGGGCAGGGGAACAGTTGAAATTCGGTTGGCTAATTTAAATAATTTAGGTGGGCTCTAAACTATTGGAGCAGTCCCTAGTTTCCTAGTACCTGGCCCTGGGATGATTAAGGCAGAAGAATATTGCCTCCTGGGGTGCACTGACCAGAGAGAGAAAGTATGGATCTGGATTGAAATTGGTTCAAGACCTCAGGAGTTCCCCGAATGAGATCTGAAACTGGCCCGTATGCAGAGAGCAAGGAGAGACCGAAGAAAGAGGCAGCCACTCCAGATTGGTAGATGGCAGGCTTACTAAGCAAGGGAACCTACTTATGGCGAGAGTCTTAGGTGGCCGGACAGTGAATAGATCTCTGCAACCACCCACCAGAATCTTAAAAGTTGATGCAGGGCCTTAATGGGGTTCAGTCGCTTACAGCTTTCAGACGGTCTCACAACACGTTGCTCTCTCAAGGTTTCATCCTTGAAAACGCCTCCCACTGTGGAAATGTTGGACTGATCATACTTTCCAAGGGCAGTGAAGGGGGGGGTGAGGAGCCTCCAATTGCCTGGGTCCAGCTCCAGGGTCAACAGGGGGGTCAAGTCCTCTTAATAACCTCCTCCAACAATTGATTAATTTGCAAATCAAAGGCATGTTCCTAGCTGAGT